CATCCTGGTGTCTGCTCCCAGTGGGACGTGTAGGACACCCCCAGTACCCTCACTGCTCCAGAGTTGTCCTGGAACCGTATTAAATCTTAATTAGGTGGGGAAAGGGGAAGAATTGATTTTTGATTTGCATGTGGCTAAATGGGAAGAGAGCCCGGAGCAGGGAAAGGCAGGCAGGGCTCACGCTGATGGGGAATGAATATTAATAGAGAGTAACAAGGCAGAGCCCAGCTCGGTGGCAGCAGGAGCAGGAACCCATGGGGATGTTGTGGGGTGAACGGGACCCTTCCTGAAGCAGCTCATGGCAGGGCTGGATGCGTCCTCGAGGAATACAACTGGCAGGGACTCGGCAAGATATGGGGAGACATGGTGAGGGGCAAAAGCTCCCACGTCTGCAACGAGAGCCAGCAAAACCGGTTAAAAGCAACAGCAAAAATAACTGACTGTGAAGGGGAGGTCTGCACTGTCACCTGTGTATCGGGGTCCTGTGGAAAACCTCCAGAAAGCTGGTGACTTCCAGTACGAACAGCAAACAGCTTTGATCTTTGCCAATCCCTTCTAAATCTTGAGCGGTGTCTTGTAAATCTTTAATTACAAGAAAATTGCAACCTTAACAGTGAACGCACAAACTGTGTTGATAAATATTTAAAATTGCCACAGCAACAGATCTGAGGGGATTAAGGAAAGATATATTGAAGTGACAGTTATTAAACACTAGATCCCAGTAAATGTTACCAAGCAGATAAATAATGCAGGTCCCTGACAGCCGCTCGGCTGCTGACAAGGCGAGGGGAAAGCGGCTGCTCTGGGGTAGAGGCTGGTGATGCCAAGCCCTGGGATCTTCCCCACAAGCCCCGGGGTAGTGTGTGTAGGGGGGTAAAAGTGTTTTCTCTCCTGCTTGGGAATCAAAAGCAGCGTGCGCTGCAGCTGTGCCCAGCCGCTGAGGAAGGGCTAAGGGGCTGACAGTGCCTCTTGACTCCTCAGCTCAACAGCTCACCTGGAAATCCTGCTGTTTCCTCACTCTCTGACCAACGGTTGTGTGACCGTGGTGGTGCTGAGCACGGGGCGTGCGTGGGGCTGCAGGTCCTGAGGGTCCTTCCCCTGCATCACCGCATCCCTACGGCATCTCCCCCGCCGAGCTCCTGCCTGCCGTTTTGTTCCTACTCCTTGGCCCCATCCGCTCCCCTCACCTTTTCCTGTAAGTTTTGAGGTCACAGACTAAATTTCCATTATTAAATTTCCAGCTAGCGTTAAAGATTTATTAGTTCACTAAAGGTAACTAGAAAAAAAGTTCATTATTCCTAATAGCCCAGGCTTCACTCACGTGGAGGGAAGATGCTCGAAGCGTGGATTACGCCAGCAATCTTCCCGATAAAATATTGATCTAAAAAGTTGGTTAATTATAAATATTACAGCGGAGTGATGAGCAAGTCCCCTGTTTCTGCCTGTTTGGCTGTAAGCTGCCCTGTCCTACCGTGGCCCGAGGGTGGGTATCAGCCCTCAAACAGACCAGAGCTGTGGTGAGAGCAGTGCGCAGCCCCAGCATCGCCGTGTCCCTGCTGTGGGGCTCTCCCCAGCTCCCCCAAACACCAGTCAGAGC